AACCATGAATCCACCATTGAAAAGAACTTGGGGGTTTGATCATAGTATTTTTGTGTTTGGCCGAACCTCTTCTTGTCCTTCTTTATCATTTTTTGCTTTAAATGGTAGCTTATGATGTTTAAAGGGTTAAACACATATTTAGCCCTTGAACATTATAATTTTTGTCACATTGGTACTTAAATTTTTTTTTGTCACATTAATACCTTAATGTTCAAATCCATTATCATGTTGGTATTTGGGACTAACGTCATTAAACAACTTTACTGATGTAGCATGAATACCTAATAAGATGCTAACATGTGTCAAAAAGTTTAATCAACACCACATCATTAATGCCACGCCATTTTTAAAAGAAAAATTCAGAAAAAAATTCAAAACAATTTTAAAAAGTTATAAAAATCTAAAAAATTAAAAAATTCTAAAATTTTTAAAATGTCATAAAATTATAAAAATTTTAAAATAATTAAAAATTGTTTTGAAAATTCAAAAAAAAATTCCAAAAAAATTTAAAATTTTTTTAAAAATTATAAAAAATTTTAGAATTATTTTTTAGTTGTTAAAATTTTTTTTATAAATTTTTAGAAATTTTAAAAAATTTTAATAAAACTTGTAGAATTAAAAAAAATTTAGAATTTTTTAAAGAATTTTTAGAAATTTTTTAAATTTTTTTTGAAAATTTCTTTTAAAGATGATGTGACATTGATGATGTGGTGGTGGCTGAATTTTTATTATACGTGTCAATATCTTATTGGATGTTTATGCTACGTCAGCAAAGTTGACTAATGGTGTTAGTTTCAGGTATTAATGTGATAACGGATTTGAATGTTTAGGTACTAATATGAGAAAAAATTTTTAGGTACCAATGTGATAGAAATTATAAAATTTAACGGTCAAATATGTACTTAACCCATGTTTAAATAATGATATTGTTGTTTAACATGATTGTTGGTCGATTGGATGAATGTATTGTTGTTTGATTACCATTTTTGTTATCATGATTTCTTTGCCATTCTTGGATCATTATATGTTTGTTCAAATTTTTTTTAATGCTATAAATCCCATCATGAGGTAAGTTTCAAGTGGTTAATATTTGTTTGGATGACATAGAATGGAAAAAATGCTTGAGAGATAGGCTAGGTAAGTTTAGCCATAGTGTCCTTTTGTTTGGCTGAACCTTCATTCCTTGATGGTTGATGGTTCTTCATTTCAGGCATTAGATTATGTTTCTATGATGTTTGGTAAGTTTCTAACATGTTTGAACAAAAGTTTCATTGAAAAACATATTGTTTGATGGTTGTTTTTTATGAATCTTTGAAGTTGTTTGGTTGTGTTTAATAATGAATAATGGTGGAACATTCAAATCAAAATTTAAAGTTTTTTATGTTTGATCTATTTTAATCTTGAATTTTTATGTATTACATATTTGTGATATTAAGTTTGAAAATACCTTAGTTTATAATTATTTTTAAAGGTCATGCTTTTGACACATGTATTAATTAATGACATTTTTGTAATTTGCATTTATTTCATACACATTTCCAAAAAAAAAAAAGAAAACTTAAAACCCAAATCTCCCATCAAACCCTAAACCTTAAAACCCTAAGCTAAACTCTAACCCTTAAACCCCAACCCTAAACCTAAATCTTAAACACTAAAGCCTAAACCCTAACCTTAAAACCCTAAACACTAACCTTAAACCCTAAAACCCTAAACTAGATCTCAAACCAACTTAAACCCTAAAACCAACCCTCAAACCCTAAATCAATCATGCATTTGCGTTTCATTTTATCTTATCATCACATGCATATTTATATGATCATGCTTTCATACTTTATTAATATTATTTTGTGATGCAATCATCAAATTTTATTATGTTCATGCATTTCATGCATTTGCATTCAAAAATTGGTTTCTAAAGTAAAATGTTTTAAGATAAGGTAATATGTAAAATAAATATAATCACTAAAATCTTGCCTAATTATAAAGGGACTTTCGGTGATTATTATTTATGAGAATTATTATTTTGGTTTTGTGGGGCAATTTAAAAACCTTTAAGTTTGGAATATTTTTGAAACTCTACCTAGTTATAGGAGAGTAAAAGAAGTGTTTCGATATTTAAAGTGTTTTCATTTTGATCCAAAATTAAAAAAAAGTTTTGTTTTAAATGTGAAAATAATTTTATTTGTTTTTGTTTTGTAAAAAAAAAAAAAGAAAGAAAGGAAAAAGAAAAAAAATAGAAAAGGAAAAATGAATTAATTTTAAACATTAAAGAAAATAAGATAATTTTTACCAAAATTAAAGGATAACATGCAATCAATTAGTACTATCTTTGACAAGCATTGATAGCACCTAATTATAGAGTTTTGATGTGCTAAAAATGGTGCCAATGTTTAAAATTTGGATGATTTTTTGTGCTTTTCAAGCTCATAAATATCATTTTCATGCAAGTCATGTATACAAGCATACAAGGAGTAAATTTGGGCCAATCTTAAAGCTCATAGCTGAGCTACCTTGATCCACATTCATAGATTTTCACTTGCACAAGGACTTTCCCATGATGGATTCAGCTAGACAACTTCCAAGAAGGGTTGCATGCTAATCCAAGCTTACTTGGACTTATCATGTTCGGCCAAAGAGAAGTTTTGATCCAAGCATAACTCCTTTGCTTAGCCGTGAGGCAATTGTGTGGCATGAGGACTTTATCCATTCCACCATGCAAAGGAAAAGATTAAAAAGTAAACAAATATTAGGTGGAGTAGAAAGAATATCACTTTTTATTTTATTTTTTTAAATGAAATTATGGTCCTTGAATAAAAAACTATTTATAAATGTTTATTTTGTTTATATTTATACATTTGACCTTATTATTTTTGTAAAATAAATTCTTTATATTGCAATTATAGTTTTGCTCTTTTAAATATTTATAAAAGTGTCATATATATATATTTTTTTTCATTTTTAGTGGGAGCAAGTTATAAAAAAAATTAAATTTTTAAAGAATTTTTGTAATAATTTCTAAGGGATATTAGGATCTCAATGGGCAGCTGCCCCCATGGTAGATCCGTCTCTGCAGAGATGTTCATCCAACTATCCAATAATATAAATTTTGAGTATCCACCTAAGCATAACTAGGACCTGGCAAAAGGACCAACCAGAAATCATAAAGCACAAGTTGGGCAGTATCCACACTCAAAAAGGAAGCCTTTTCAAGCTACACTAGTTAGATTGCGCTGGACAGCTTCTATTTACTACATCTGGAGGGAAAGAAATTCAAGAAAGCATACGAGGAAGATGAAGTCTCCAGAGTTGGCTTTTCAACAAGTTGCTGCTGATATTTGTTCTTTCACAACGTAGTTTATAAATCTATTAACAAAGTTCTTTGGGTTATAAGCCAAACCACTAGCTAGCTAGCATATTTGGCGGCTATCCCCTTATGTTTCTTCTTGCAGCATGCTTGTTCTGCCTTTTTTTGGATTTTTAAATAAATTTCAATTATCCAAAAAAAGAAATCATGTAGCACACTTGGGTATCTAAAACTACAAATCAGAGTCTTTGAATCACTTGCCTGGCCGATCTACCCTTTACTAACTTTAGATTAGGTATTTTTTTGTTAGTTGTTACGAGAAAGACGCGAAGAGGAAACATTATAAACATTATAGTAGTATCTGCATCGTTATTGTCTAATGACTCTCTCAAATGGAATAAACAGCAAGATTTGTTTATTTTCACACCTTCATATTTCTGAATCCATTTCACCTTCACAAGAAAAAGAGAGTATTCTTTTTCTATTCATCTAAAAGAATTAAAAATAAAAAAAGTTAAAACATGTGGCAAGATCACTACAACTTGCTTTAAATATTGATCAAGAGTACACTTTTAATTCTATATCATGATTCGATTTTTAAAATAGAAGAGAGAAGTTTGGTTATCCGGGAGCAAGGTAAATGCACCCTTTGTTGAAATGAAAATTAAACTTCTTAGCACTGTGATCTGAGAAATTTTATTACACACAACTTCGGACTTTTGGCTTTTCAGTGCTTTTTTGATGTTTGGAGCACCTGAAAAGAGAATAAATAAAGAATTCTATAGGAAGGAGACTAGTGAGTAGTGACTGAAGATGCACACTCGTTCATGCATTTAAACTACGTGACAAAATAAAGAACGAATTCATAGTCCATGTCTTGAGTACAAATTTCATTTAAAGTCACTGAAGAAGGATTATTGGCTAGATGGCAGATGCACCACAAAGAAACATAATAAATGGTCACTATCCGTTTTAAAAGTAGGGCATTGAGTTCCTCTCGTAAGCACAAGAATCAACGAATTATTAGAGTCCAGGGAATTTTAAAACATATTTTGACACAGTGCCATAAACTGATAAAAGCTTAATTTGTAGGAGTAACTGCCCATTATTAACTCAATTCTAGAAGCAACCGGCAAGTTACCAATCAATTAATATTAGGGGAAACTTTGAATTTATATATAAAAGCTTACGTCCAAATAAGGAGGCGACAAACAAGTTGCCCTGGCATATCACAGGTATTGAGATTTAGTAGCCCGTTGCCTCTTAATTATAAAAGCAGGATATTTGATGCAGTTCATGGACATACACGGACGATTCAATAACCAGCTCAAAATTTGTTCATACTATTAGGAGCTACTTAAATTAGCAGCCAGTAGCCCACATCCCGAACCAGGAATCCGTATGGTTGACACAGCTGCATGCATCGACTGATAACTAGTGTATCAGTAGTCACTAGCCCAATAGGTAACAATCATATTACATGTGCATAAATTAAGCAGCCAATAGCCTCTTCTTGACTATTGCAGCTACTGAGTTGAAGAGTCTATATATATAGCCCATTATCATTAGAACATCAAATAACCATCAAAGGCAAATTGCAACCTACTACCAATCCTATTACAAATACCAAAACTATCAAAACACCAAAAAAGCTATCAAAATATCAATTATAAAATAATAATGCAGTAGTATCATCTTCAAAGTATTACAGTGAACATCATTCTAAAGCTATCAACCTTTAAATGACTACATCATAATTTCAAATAATTTGCGTGTAAATTTACAAACACCAATTCAAAACATAATTACAACTACCAATAACTATGAAATTAAGCTATAGTACATCAAGGTTCGTAATGACGTAAAGCTTAGCAGCAAAGGACTTTGTAAAGTTCAATATGAGTTTAATATTCTGTTTCCAATACACCATCAATGAGCCCAAACTCCGTAGCCTTGTGAGAGAATTAAAGAACCAATAGGAAGATAGAAAACCTGTTAGTCTTTTCTTTCAATATGTTGAAACCGTTTAATGCCGTGACATTTAAAACACAAAGATATCACTCTATAGGCCCTTAAAAGGGAAAATCAATTTAAACTCTATTGTCACTCTCCTTACCTCCTACCTATAGGTAAGCAAGAAGAAAGAGAAGAGGGATACGCGTTAGGCAAGATGTTTTCAGCAAACATTGATGCTGAGAACCATTACCTCGTTTTTAACAAAATCAAAAAGCAACATTACCTCAGAAATAAATAAGAAGTGATTCCTTTCTGTGTATTATTGCACTCTTTCCAAAGGTTAGCCAGTGAAAGCCGCATACATTTTGTCAAAATTCTACAACAAAAGTATTAGTGAAAAAGGTTAAATGTTTAGCAGAGTATTTCTATCTTTGGTAAGTATCTGTATGACCATAGCAAAAGCTTTTATATGAAAAGGAAATTTAGAAAGCATAACATGGAGATCAATCCCTTTGATTCATTGGTAGCTTACTCAGAAAATGCAAAATATAAGAAAAAGAAAATTACATGGTGAGATTAAACTGCTTCATTCACTTGACGTCTGACATCTTCAACATGACCCTTCAAAGAGAAAGAAACAGAACCAATAAATTTCAACAAGTACATGAGAAGTGATTTCATGTTTGTTACACAGAGTTCAAGAACTTAAAAATAATTTCATAGTGTCTCTAATTTTGTTACAAGAAATGAATTTATCTTTTACAGCACAACAAGCTTCATTCAATTGTAGTTTGCCCCTCGAACAATACAGCCAAGATATGCATTAGCTATTTCAAATCTTCTCATCCCCCTTTAAAAGCTTTTCTTTTCTAAATGTAGCAACTAGTAATGCAAACCAAGAAGTTAAATCATACCTCAAATCCACTTTGTGGTTGGTGTATCATAATGCATGCATTTGGCATTGCATAAGGCATCCCCTTCTCTCCACCAGCAAGAAGAAGTGCTCATTGGCTTGCAACTACTCCAAAAGAAACTATGCCAACCTTTGGCTTTATTTGAAATAATGACCAATTCATGCTAGTAAAATAAGAAGTTCAAATAAAGCATGCAGCATTGTTTTCATCAGAATATGTATTAAAATGTCATAGCATGCAGTAACAAGGAAAAAAATACAAAAGAATGGGCCCAACAGAGTTTAAAATCTCACCCAAAACATGCAATCATAAATTAACAAGACAGAATCGCTACTTCCATCAGGGCAGTTCAAATACACTTGACAAGGTACACGTTAAAGTTGTAAAATGTGAACAGGTTCCAAAATTATGGATTTAAAGCTCTATGCACCAAAAGAAAAAAATAGAGAAGTTGAGACAATTAGTAAAAATATGATAATACCAGAATATATGCATCCTCATCGATAGCTGCCAAAGTCACAAGCTGTGATATAACTCTTTGAGCAACCTGTGAATTGACTGGTTGCCCAATGAATATAATACGATTCCTGAATAACACTGTTGAAAGGTCCAAAAGCCCTCTTGGACTGCTAGCATTATAGGTGGATTCCCCTTTTTGGCTTTTATTGCACCATAGCTGTAAATACACTAGAATATCAGGTATTATGATGTCTATATCAAATACACTAGAATTAAGTTAATAAAAAAAAATTATTAACACTTTGATGAACCATACCATTAAAATTAAAAAATTTTGTAATGCAATAACGTGGTGCTGCATCGTACCCTCTTTGAATCTATGATATCACCTTTTATTGAAAAAAAAAAATTTAAACCATTGGAAGCGCCTTTAATTTGTACTAAAATGTCTGTTTGAGTACAATGCCAACCAGTTACTTTGTGGGGTACCCTTGGTTTGGGAACTTTTAAGCCAACTGTCAAAGTCCATCAGCATCTCGTACATTGATAGTACTATTTCAACATTTTAACACTGTACTTTTAACATCATTTAAATTACTACTACCACTACTATTTGTATTTTTCGCACTAACATCCAATTGAAAATTTTCCCTTTCAGTGTTTCTTACTATATACTATAGTATATTGCACAATTCTTAGGTCTCTTGAGCCCATAAATGATCCCATGGTTGGGTCCTAAAAGTAGCATCCTACTTTCATCCTTTTACTTCAAACTGGAAACACGATTGAAGATACTCTTCAGTCTCCCCACCACAAAGTGGTCCAGTTTGGGCCCACAGGAAGCCGAAAACGCTTTCAACATCCCACGTATTCATCTCATGCTTATGCTTATCCCGCAATCAACGTGTTGATAACAAAATTCAAAACACCTATAACCCATAGATGCCCGCCACGTATCGAAGATGCTTTGGATCCCACGAGGCCTAGCTCAACTCCCTCGTCAGCTTAAAAACAGCCCAGAGTTTAGTACCCGGTTCCAGGAGTTTACTTTACACTTTACACAAACACACTCTGCTTAAACAACTCCAATCCCTGCAACTTTTTGGTTCCCATTCATCTCTTCTCTTTCGTTTCAATGGCTGGGTTTGAGCAGCAATTAAAGGAGAGAGCCAAGGAGCTCAAGGTTTTCCTGAAGAAGGGCGTGAAGATCGTGGGAGATTCATGCAAGAAAGGCTGGTATAAAGTCAAGCATATTAGAGGCTGATGATTAGGCTTCACTGTGTTTGATCTTGATCTATATTTCAATGCCCACTTCTTATTTATTCCTGTTTTCTCTTTTTTAGCTTTGATTTTCCCTAGTGGAGATCTCTGTCAGTTTTCTCTTTTTTTTTGGGGGGGGGGTTGTTTAGATTTTGAAGGGTTTGCTCTTGTTTTTTGTTACTTTTTTGTTACTGTTTAGCTCTGATTATTTGGTTTTTGACTTGTTAGTTATTATTTCTCTTTGGCTTATACTTTTTAGGAGTTAACAATTCTTTATTTTCCTTTATCTTTTTTATGAGGATGATCCAAAAAAAACTTATTTTGTGGGGTTGAATAAACTAATGAAGGTTTTTTTTCGTATATAGTTGCAATAAATTACTGTAGACATGTATTATCCATTTAAATACGAAGAAAATTTGAATAAAACATTAAAATTTATTAAATAAATTTTTATATAATTTTTAAATTTATTTAAATTTCTAATCGAACTTTAAATAAAAGTATTAAAGCTGTCTTGTTTTGAATAAAATTTATAAATTATAATTATATATATGAATGTGAAAATTTTATTTTTATATTTTATTTTTAAAAAATATATATTTAATTTTTTATTACATAAATTAAATTTAATAAATAAATTTTAATTTAATTTTTTAATTTGAATTAAATTTAAAAATTTTTGAAATTTAAAATATCAAGTCAAATTTTGAATAAATATGCAAATTATTAAATATCTGAGTAAATATATAAGATATTAAACAATTACTGTTTAGATGTCACTAGCTGTTTTCTTTTTTTTAACCCCTACTGCTTAGATTATTCATTACTAGAAATACACATTACTAGTAAAAAGCAGGCAAACCTTCCTCGCGACGTTGCAGCTTTCAGCGAATATGATGCTAGGTGAACGAGCTTCCTTGAGCTGTAGGGCACCATTTAAATGGGAAAGAATTGGGACCCCAGTGAGTCTTGATTCCGTAAGCTTTAAAGCATGGATACAGAAATTAACCAGACAGCTTTGATCACACTTGTAAATTGTCTGTATTAGGCTTTATCATATCATTTACACTCATGTTTTACACCATTTTTAAAAAAGATTTGATGCACTTTAAATGTATAAATGTTATATATTATTTTTAATTAGTTTTCAATTTTGTATGGGCCATTTACTGCACAGGAACTTTAATATTTGAACTACGTAAAAGCAAATTATTTAAGTTGTTGTAAATAGGTCCAATCAGGCGAAGTTCTATAGTAGATTTTGAGGGTTAAAAACTAGTACTAAAAATTCATATTGGAAACAAAGCCCTACGAGTTTGTAAATCACAATTTGCATTTTGATTTTCAATACTTCCGTAGAAAAAAATCAAGTAAAGAGCAAAAGACTATGCTAGCAGATAGACGCGTTCCTAGTTATTGCAAATATGAATATTATTTTGCAAAGTCTTGTTTTCTAAACTCCGGTTTGCAAAGAAGTTAATGCTTTCCATGGTGCCCACGCACGTTAATTCAGATAGAGCAATATTTTTGGTCCATCAAGTGATGATGGAGCAATTAATATGACCATGAACGGGCAAAAATTATCATGAAACAATTATGTCATTTCAATTTATATTTTATATCACTTATTTAAAGTTAAATCATCCTTCATTATCATGTAATTTGATATAGAATCAACTCATACGACAAAATTTCTCTCTCCTGGAAACTGAAGAATTATTTTTTCTTCAAATCTTGCTCTCTCTTTTTTCTTGATAAAAGATTTCCACATTTATAATTTATAATTTGAGTAGCAACAACTAATTTTTTTTGTAAGTGGTTTTGTGAAGGCTAATGTCGCACTATCAATTTTAGAGCACAGATGAAGATACAAAGACTACGATTTCCCTTGCTAAAATCCAAGCCTAAGATCTCTCAAGGGAACCAAATACTATACTTTCAGCAGCCATTTCTGCTGATTTTGATGAGTTGAAGAAATCATCTGTGAGAAGGATGGAGTCCCAAATGGGACTAGCAGAATATGGTGTGAATGATTGGGAAAAGAGGCTCCAAAAATGATGATAAGTTGAAGGTAACAAAGCACGAATTTGTTGTTGTTACTTTTGCTTATGATTATGATCTAGGCAGAAAGGGATTGCTCGATGATATCAAATCACTATGAACATCTGGTTCCCCCACAGAGTTGTATAATGGTGAAGTTGCTAGTAGGAAAAGGAAAAAGTCATTTTCTGACCGAGGATATAAGTGAATCTTTGAGGGGAAGACTCTTCAGCTTCAAATAATGCTTCTTCAAGACTGGCATTAGATCGATATGATAACCAGCTTCTGCTAACAAGATTTATGTCAAGTAAGGCTATAAGGCGAGAGTTGAGGCGGCAACAGCGTATAGCTGCTGAAAGAATGTGTGACATATCTGTCAGCAAAAGATGCTTCCTGAAAAAGATGTAGCATTGCTCATGAACTTGAATACTGGAAAACTTGTTTGCAGTAGTAGAAATGTTAATGGGGTATGATTCTCTACTCAACTTGGCTTTGGCTCACCTTCTAAGTTATTGAGAGCCCCTTAAATTTGCATTATATTGGTCAGTATGGCCTATTTCTTAGTCTCAGCTTTAAGCTTTGATTAACATGTTAATTCTTGACAGTTCTAAGTTCAAGTTATATTTACATTTATCATATTTCCATTTTTACATTTAGGCATTCCATGTAATTCACACTTGATGCCTTATACATTAATGGGTACAGCTTTGTGAGCTGGAGAGGATTGAGAACCATTCAGTTAATCCAAAAAAGAAATCGAAGGTCTAGGCGAAAAGATAGATCCAAATGCAATGAGGTGGAGAAGGTTGAAGAGACTAAACCTACAGGGACCTTGATTCCTTCTGTACTCTGCACAGAGTGCCCAGGTACCGGTATTGAGGTTGAGGGAGATGAGCTGGAGAAGCTTGATGTCTGTCTTTCTCAGGTACGCATTTTACGATCTTGAAACATTGAGCTGCATGCTGTGGTACAAGGAAATTTTTTGGCGTTAATTATATCTTTCAAAATGGGCAGAATGCATATGTTATATAAATTATGAGAAGGCATATATATCTATGTTGATTAACATGGTTTTTATTGTCCTTTTAGATGTTTAAATATAACATTAAAGTAAGCGATGCTCGTAGAGCATGCATGAAAAATCCTGAAATGTTGGAGATTAATTGTTCAATAGGCTTTTAGTAATTTTCCTTCTCAGTCCGGAAAGTTGGCTCATGTGTCAGGCTTTTGCTCACCGTTTCTTTTTATACCAATGAAAACTTAGGGACCCCTAAAATTGAGCTTCTTGGTTGCAGGAGAAAGTATTGCCCCTAAAGTTGCTGCATTTCTACAGCGCTGATAAGTGCGAGTGAGGCACAAGTTTCCTTGAATGAATTCCGCAATTGAACTTATGTTTGATGTTCGCATTGTAGGCTGTAGTGTTAGCATATATGCGTAACTTGTTACACTTATACAGATAAAGAACACGGGCGTCATGAAAACCAAATAGCAATATTTGGAAGAACAACTTTAGAAAACTTTGTTGATATGCGGAATATAAAGAATCAAAATATTAGGAGGGGAAAAACAAAGAAAATTTACATGAATTATGAAAACTGAAATAAAAGAAAACAATAACTTGATAAAAAAACAAACTTAGGATTACGGAATCACTACCTAAGAACACATCACATATTCAACACATACAAACTTAATTAATTTTTCTTCATATAGCACTTTTAGAAAAAAATAAATAAGAGAATAGAAATAATAAAAAAATAATTTTAGCTTTGAAGCGTGAAGAACACTTTTTTAAAAACAATTATATCTTTAGGATACAACAAAGCTTCAAACTGTCCAATTAAAAATAGTGAAAAATATTATATTAAAAGATCTATTTATAATGAATGAACAGACATAGACTTTTATTCAAA